ACTCAGAGAGACATTGCCTTCTAACAGGAAGGCTGCCCTGCAGCCTGGCCCGCGGCTTGGTTGGCTGGAGCGCCATCCCGCACGTCGAGAGGCGATGGACTCGATCCCTGGTCGGGGCACGTGTGGAAGGCACCAGATTGATGTGTCTAACATCTATGTTTCTCTCCCCTTACTGACTAAATAAATAAAAAATAATAACAATGTTCCCTACAAGCCATCCTCATTAAAAGTGTCCAGCTTAGCCAAGGTCTTATTTATATAAATGCACTTTTCTCTGATTTTTACATAGGCAAGTGAGACAAAACTTTTAAACCCACTTATGGGAAGGGCTAGTTAACATGAAAAACAGTAAAACCACATCAGTGCCCTTTTTAACTTCTCTAGGGCCCCCACTTCAGAAACGAGAATGGAGCCATCTGTCACAGGAGCATGAATACTGACTTGTGCCGGCCACACACTGAGAGCTTTATGGGGATCACTCCTCTGGCCGTCGAATCAGGCCGATGAGGAGGACCGCTGCACGACCATGTCACAGATGGGGAAGCAGGCGCAGTGCCTGCCGTCGAGCGGGCAGAGCACAGTGGCTGTCTGAGGCCTGATTTGAGACCAGGACTGCAGGGGCAGCGCAGTCAGCAGGACCGGCTCCCATCTGGGGATGACTCCCCAGGCCTGCAAGGTCTCCATCCCTCTGTGACAGGCAGTGTCGTGGACGGGTCCCAGCAGGGACAGGGAAGAACAGAAAGGGAGCCCTCCCAGGGTGCAGGGTGCCGACTGCTGTTAGGTGGACTTGGCCGTTGCCCAGTGTGGAGAGAGGTCCTGGGAGTAAGTGCTGCGGGCTGAGAGCCACCACACAGCTGCTACAGCGAATTCTAGCGCTGCCTGTCATGCCCACGTCCTCACATGCACGGATGTCCATCTACACGGAGGACACGCAGTGCTCAACATCATGCATTGGAAGAATATGAATATTCAACCAGACACAAACATAAATAAAACATTTCCTATTGTTAAACTTTTATAAACAGATATTAAGATTAATTCTAAAACATTTAAGCCGGGGCATGCAACAGGACTGAAATGCCTCGTAACAGATTAAACGGCCGTGCTCCATCACTACCCACACTCCAGCCACCAAGCGTCCACGTACCGTCCAGCTGCATCTTCTTGGGCGGCACGGAGGGCGAGGACAGGGAGGAGGTGACCCGGAAGTTTGCAGGGAGAGTCTCTGCTGATCCAGCAGCTAAGCCACGAACGTCCTTTGGTCTAAATTTTTTTCTCCAAGAAGGTGCTCTCCTAAAGGTCTTATCATCGTCCTGGAAAGTAAAGGACAGAATACAAAATGACTGTAAAATAAAGGACAAGAAAATAGTGGTTTTCAGCCCTTTGAAATGATGGCTGGACTCGCGGCCGCACTCTCATTCACATGCACCCCACCCGTTCCTGACGACCATATGCCTCGGGGACCGACTGGGAACCTGACTGAGAGGTGGTGGGCAGCACTGGCACCGAGGCCCTAACTGGGCAGAAATCTGCACTGTCCTGGCCGCCGGGGTGATGCTCCTCCCCTCCACCACCACGAGTCACTTCTGATCTTGCAAAAATCACGTCCTAACTATGCAAGAGGACACATCTTTGTCTTAAAAATAGCCATCAAGCTGTAAGGATTCTGTCTTATGCTGGGGTGGAGCCAGCAAGTGCTTCAAATTCAAGTTTCCTTCAGACCCGAAGAAGAGAGTAATAACAGTGTGGGAATCAGTGAGTCATGGTTTTGTACAAGGAGAAATTAACATTTTTATGTTTAACATACTTCCGAAACAGTCCCCCAAATGTTCCCAACACACAGCTTACAGACTCCATTCCTAGGCTACAACCAATGTTTTATGAACATTTTTGAGGGTTATCAAACGTTAAATAACAAAAAACAACCTATCTTACTGAAAATGTTAGTTTCTTAATAGCTCATTTGTTCCTAAAGTTTTAAGAACAAAGCCTAACTTAAAGTAAACACATGGCCACACTTAGCAGAGACACCACTGAAGTTATTAGGCTGGAACTTACTTCACTGAACCGCCTGTCGGTGCCCACGACCAAGAGGTTGTTAAACTCTCTCTCCAGGACAGTGCGAGCCTGAAAGCATAAAACACTCGACTTCAGTCTCACTTGGGAAGGAGGGGTCAGCACAGCACAGCTGTTCTTTCAACCAAGACTTTAAAAACCTTTGAAGGGAGGGAGGGGGAAAGGGAGACAGCCGTTATATTTTCAACAATAAAGATAAAAACTAAAACAAAATAAATAAAAAACCTTTGAAAAAGCTCTGATTGCCTTGAGCCATGACAGTGACCCAAATCAGGGTTTTCCTGTGGGGTTCCCAGACGGGCTTCTAGGAACTGCAGTGGGAAGGGTGTGTGTGGGTAGTGCAGCCAGGGGAGCGCCATGGGTGGGGGCGGAGTACTGGCAAAGCACATGCATCCTCTCAGAGGAATAAAGAATGTCCTGGCTCTCAAACGAGCCCGCAAGTCAGAAAGGACCAGGCAGGCGGCAGCGCACAGAAAGGACTGCCCTCCGTCGTCCGGCACGCGGAAGGTATGGAAGGTATTTCTCTTCCACCTAAGGTTGGATATGGATGCAACTTCCATGAGCATATGGACCTGAATGAAAACTTCCCATTATTTTATCGTTAAGACTCATGCAACTGGACATGAAAAGAGGACACAAATAACGGATCTGAACTGCCACATCCGGGTTAGGTGGGGAAAGAGGTGCCGCGCTGCTGGAGGGTTTACGTTGTGTCTCCATTTCGGTAACTCGCTGAAGGTCCTGGTCAGGAGAGCCGAGGGGACACGGACTGCGTGGGGCCGGGCGGGCGTTACCTGGGTGTTCTGCGTGGGGATCTGCAGTAGGAGGGCCAGCACGTTGAAATCGAAGGTTTCGTCTAAGGCCATGAGCGCCCCGTGCACCCCGCTCTCCAGGAGGTTGTTTGCGTATTCTTTCAGACCAATAGACAGGACCCAGCGAATCACGCGATCGTTGCTCCAAACAAGCACATCTGCAGGGAACAACAGGACGCAAGTGACTTCAGAAGGCTGTCTCCCTCATGTGTCCCCTGAACCCAGGACCAGGGCTCCTGCATGGGCCCTGATCCTTCAGTGCCTGCCTCAGCCAAAGCTCCACGGGCCAGGAAGCACTGCTGAGTGTGCACCAGCCACTCACTGACCAGGGATCGGAAGCAAAAGGACAGACGGGAATCTGAGTGCTCACCAGGTGCCAACTCGACTCACACACAGACTTGAGAATACTTGAAACACGTTCCTCCCATCACAGGAGCTGGCACCAACATGCATGCCTTGCTCACTCAACACAAACTTCCTGCTTATGATCTTGAAGCCATTTTTCTTGTCCCACTTTTAAAAGAGAGAAACGTAAAGATATTCTCCAGAATACTAGGATACTAGGAATTTGGAATTGGGGGGGGGGGGGGGGCAACAGAAGATCTTACATTATGCAAAGCAATAAATTATTAAATTCGCTCTAAAAATACCTCTCTAAAATACATACAGATGATCATCACTGCTTTCAAAGACAGCTTTTGTCAATTGTAAAAAGATTTAAAATGAATAGAAAAAAACAAGACAGATTTACACATTTAATTTCTAAAGCCCCTTTCTGGATAAAGGACAACACACACACACACACAGTGAGCGCGGGCTTACAGTTGTTCTCATGAGTCACATCAACTCAAACACAACTAGACTATTCTTCCAATGGGCCATCACCCCCAAAACACGTTTTTCATCTTCCATTTCTTTCTTCGTGAGAGTTGGGGACAGCAGCATTTACAGAGCCATGGGAGGATTAAATAAATTAACCCACAAAGAAAAGCATTCTGGTCTCCCGGTCCAACATCTGCATCTTCTCATGCTTCCCCACCCGTTTTCTTTTTCTTAATATGTTTTTATTGATTTCAGAGAGGAAGGGAGAGGGAGAGAGAGAGATTGAAACATCAATGATGACACGTCCCACACTGGAGTTCAAGCCCACAACTCAGGCATGTGCCCCAACCGGGAATCAAACTGACCTCCTGGTTCACAGGTCGACGCTCAACCACTGGGCCACGCCAGCCAGGCCCCACCTGTTTTCTAACAGAAACGCCTTTGCCTTCTTTGCCATAGGAAGCTCCCACCCAGCCTCCAGGCTCAGCTGGAATGTTAGCCCTGCACTGTTCCCCCTGCCCTGGGAGCAGGACCACCTGCTCTGTTCTGTGGCTCAAGTTCTGGAGTCAGTGGCCAGAGCAGCATTCACACCTCCATCAGGCGAGTGAAGTGCAGGCTCTTGCCCACCCTGCTCAGCGGTCCTGAAAGGAGTGGGGAGGTACCTGTGTACCCCCACAAGGAAAGGCTGAGTCAGAGGGAGAACATGCACCTCGATGCACCCAACCACAGACTAAGGATGCACAAGCTTCTCCGGCCGCAGCGGGACCTTGAAAAGCCCTCTTTCTCCCACCCTATCTGTGATGACTCCAGGCTCATCTTCCCCACTCAGAGCCTTTCCTGATTTTTTTAAATATGGGAAGCAGAGACATGCTAAATCAATTAGACATGAGGTACTAGCCTTTTACTTCATTCTGGCTTTCTTCTCTTTTCCTTTCCAGTTCTTTTCGGTCATAATTTAACCTTCGCAGGCACATAATTCCGCACTGGAAACTGTTTCTATTTATTAAAAACAAATAATAAAAATTATAAATAAAAAAAAAGAGAAAAAAATGGCAACAGTCACAAGTCAGCCAAGCAATAAGCACTCTGGCAACGACGTGCCTGTGGAAGCTGTCGACCATCTTCAGCTGCCCCCGCAGGTCCTTCTTGGTCAGGTGGTCCAGCATGCGCGCGTCCACCAGGCACTCCATGAAGTAGCTGCGGTACTGCGGGAGGCCCAGGCTGGGCAGCCACTCGTTGCCGATCCACTCGTGGTTCATGTCCCCGTACGCCAGCGTCTGCTTTCAATAATTGAGTATAATCAGTTCAGAAAAAAACCAGGAAAGAGGTCACAAGAACAGTTTCAATAATCTTTACACTGGATGTTTAGTCTATGACATATTCCCAAAGGCTAAAAACTAAGTACATCATTCTCCTTTATAATATCAAAATCATTTGCTCTCCTGTTAACTACCTTAAAATGTTCGTAAAACTTTATACAAAAGGAATTATACTAATAAAAATCTATGACTCATTTGTGTTTATAAATTGAATCTATTTACTGAACTACAACAGAACTGTAACTGACTATATATTATCTTTCTGGAATATGTTTTATGTGTAATAATATAAAACCAAAGAATGACCATGACTCATGAACAAGTTTGAAGGGCCTACCCACCTGTACTCATTAAGTAATCTTTGCTGGCTTTAATTTTAATACTTTGCTTTCTAAATTTTCTTAAAACCTGTTAATTTCAAAATCAGTTAGAAAAGTGAATAAAATTGTTTTAAAAGAATAGATAAAAGAGCTGATGGGTCTGAAAGGAAAAACAGACACACACACACAGGCCCACTCTCAGTTCATCACCCTCTACCTCATTAAGGCCGTGGATGCCTCCAGTACCAAGTCCCCGACCTAATGGGCATGTCATAGCGCACTCCACAGCTACAAGGGCATATGGAGCATTCTTCACGACAGACAGAGCTCAATGTACACACAGAGAATAAAATCATAAAATGTGCTCCAACCTCAAAAGAATTAAATTAGAAATCGATAATAAAAAGGTAAATGAAAACTCCTGAATACTTGGAAAGCAGCATACTTCTAATAACCCATGTGTCAAAGAAGAAATCATAAGAGGAATGAGAAAATATATTAAACTGAGTGAGTGAAAACACAATATATTCAAAAAGTATGGGATACAGCTAAAGCAGTGCCTTGAGGGAAATTAATAGTATAAATACTTAAGATATAATTGAGGAAAGGTCACAAATCAATAATCTAAGATTCTACCTGAAAAACCTTGAAAAGAACAAATGAAATCAGAAGGAAGGAAATGAAGCAGAACGAAGAAAAGAAAAAGAGCAGAAACCAATAAAACAGAAACCAGAAAAATTAAAAATAAAATAAAACTAAAATCTGTTTCTTCATAACTATCAATAAAATTGTCTATCTGCGACCCCTGAAAATACAGCCTACATATCAGATATTTACATTATGATTCACAACAGTAGCAAAATTAGTTATGAAGTAGCAACGAAAATAATTTTATGGTTGGGGGTCACCACAACATGAGGAACTGTATTAAAGGGTCACAGCATTAGGAAGGTTGAGAACCACTGGACCCTTCACCAGAGTACTAAAACAAAACAAAAGACATTACCAATATTAAGAATGAAAGGGGATAAAGGTTCATATCCTATAGATATTGAAAGAATAATAAGGGAAAATTGTGAATAACTTTAAGCAACTCAGACAATCTATGAAAGCCACTGAGTAAGAAGTGTATGACCTCTATCTATTAGAACTTTTTTGTAGTTACAAACCTTTTCACAACCAAAATTTCTGTCCTAAATGGCTTTACAGGTGAATCCTACCTAACAAACATTTATGAAAAAAGAGCAATTCTATAGACTATTTCAAAAAAGTGAAGAAGAAATGCCGAACTCATTTGACGAGGCCAGCATTGTCCTGACATTGAACCCAGACAAATGAATGTATTACAAGAAAACTATAGACCAATATCCCTCAGAGACACAGATGCAAAACTCCTTGTAAAACATTAGCACAGCAAATCAGTAATATATTAAAGTCATGAAATAGGACAAGTGGGGCTTTTCTCGAGAACTTAAATTTGGCTCAACGTCTGAAAATCAATGAAATTCACCATATTAATGGACTGAAGAGAAAAACCGCATCTGAAAGATGAGCGGAGGCATTTGACAAAATTCACCATTCCTTTAGGGGCGTCTCAGCCTTCTGAGTGGAAAAACCCGCCTCGATCTGATGAAGGGCCTCTACCAAACACAGCGCTGACACCCCTCCACGGGAAAGACTACACGCTCCTCCCCTGGTCAGGACAGAGCAGGGACGTTATGCAAAGCTGAGCGGCAGCTCCTAGCCACTGTGACAATCAAGCATGTAACTGGTGAGAAGAGAACATCTTTATTGGTAGGAGACCTAACAACCCGGGAAATGAATCTACAAGACAGCCGTTACAACTGAAGAGTCCAGTCAAGCTGTAGGGTACAAGGTAAAGATATGAAAATGAACTGTATTTCCAAACACTAGAAAGGAACTGGAAACGGAAATTTTAGAAATGCCATTCACAATGCCATGAATCGCCACGGACGCCTTGGGTAAATCTAACAGAATAGGTGCAGCTCTGTCCAGAGCAGAAAGGAGCCCGTGTGTGCAGTATGTGACACACGTCAAAGAGACACGGGTTCTTCAGCCCGAGACCAAACTGACCCACAGGCTGCTGCCCGGATCCCTGGACACAGCAACCCTCCCTCCTACCACGTTGTTTTGAAAATATGGTCTCTAAGCTATTATTTATTCCAACCAAGCTGAAAGGAATGACTCCAACAACAATGCTCAAATTCTAACAAAAAAAGTTTTACTATTTGCTCTAAACAACCATGAGGGAGAAATACAGACTTTTTTGGACACTGTCACAATATCATGTTTTTCTCAGTCTTTCAAGCCTCACTTTCATTTCACAGACACTTAGAGCATGGGTATCTGGTACTGCTTTCTTGCTTGCTGAGTATGTAATTCTTAAATTGACACAAAATGCAAAGAAACTTCTAAACAGAAAATTCTATGGAAGAAGAACCCTCCTTATTCTCATCTACTCACTCTAGTCTAGTTACTTCCTCCTGGCAGCGATGGGAGCTCCTGGGAGTACCGGCTCATCCCAGGGAGACCCACATCTCCTGGGCTGCCATCACAGGCCTCTGAGAAACGCACGCAGCAGGGTCTCGTGGTCAGAGAATGTGGGCGACAGGAGACAGCCACAGCACAGGGTGTTTTCCCATCATTGGAATGATCACAAATTCAATTCAGACCTTTGAGCTCTGTAGAACGGGGTGCTGGGAGGGCCCAGGGCCGTCCTGTCCCCTGCTGCGTCTGGAAGCAGCAGTCTCGCGGGTGGACACACTGATGGTGCCTGCCCAATGGCTGCATCTTGACATGTTCTTCCCCCAGTGCCCATGGGCACCTCGAACTTTCCTGGCTGCAGAGCTGCCGCCGTGGGGCGGCATGGGGTGGGCACCGAACGACTCCCGCACTTGGCAGCACCCGGACCCACCTCTCCTTCCTCTCATCTAAAAGCCCAGTGGCCTTGGCTCACGCCGAAGACCGCATGCTGGCTAATTCTGGCGCCATCAGCACAGCTCGCCCTTGCTTACATTTCCAGAGCAAGAGCAAGTGTTCAGCTTATGTAATTTATACGTCGTGCCTCTGATGCAGGGATTTCCTACGGCAGAGCTCTGCTTCTCACTATAAAGTTCAGTGACATGTAAGGAACTATGAAACGCCCCCTTTTTAATTCTAGTGGTCACCACTGACCCTGTGAAGGTGGACAGGGCATTTACCTGGAGAAGCAGCCAGACCATAGGTGGGGGCGGGGAGCTTAGGGAATCCTGCTTGAGCTCCCCTCTTTTGTTTAGGAAGTTGATGTAACTGGCTTTATTTTAAGGGGACCAATAGGAGAAACAGGGGTGTCAACCATCAACTGTAATTAGGAAAATTCTCATTTAAAATTATTGTTTTTCAGATACACAATCTCCAGATCCATGCGCAATGCCTTTAAGGAGGCCTCGGGAGAAAAGGCCTGCCCACACCTCCCGGCTCCGAGGTGCTGCTGAAATGCACAGCACACGGCAGTGCTGGCGGACGCAGGAGGGAAGCCACTGCTTGGCACAGCTGCAAACCAGCTGGGACAAAGCTCGCTGGAGCTGAAGAACCAGGAAGTTGAAAATCCAGATGTACACTAAGTGAGAAGAGGCTGAACTGAGGTTTCCATAGGAGGAAAGCTGTTAGTTAGCTCACACAGTGTTAAGAAAGTACCCACACAGACTCAGAGGTGAGCCTCTGAACCTACTTGTGTTGTTAATGTATTAGAAGGGTTTTCCCATCAGCAGATCTTGTAACTACAGTGACCCTATTGGGGACTGAAATATCTAATCTCAGGAGCTGCTGAGACCACAGGACTTTGCATAAAGGCCACACGTCAGGCAAAGTGATCTATGTTCATGAGAGTGAACCACTGTGTCCCTAGGAGAAAGCTGAGAAATGTTCAAAATTGTCCATGAGACATCCTCTATGCACTCTTGAATCCTATGCTTGGCTTTGACTGATGCTTTCAATCATTAACATTAATATGATTAAATTAAGATGTTAAAAACGTCAAGAAAAGTAAATTACAAGTTTTCATACGCCAATTCTTTTTGTTGCTGTACATATAGTGAAGAATAGATTATAGAAAGTCTCCAACCTGAGCCCAGCTTCCCTCCTCATCCTCCTGATGTTACGTGGTTAGGGATGCAAGAGAACACACACATATGGTTAGTACTGTGAGCTTGGAACGCAAAACAGTGAACGCGGGCAGTGCAGCTTCACCAAGGGAAGGCTCAAATAGCACAAGCACCATGCAGAACGCATGCACAACCCACACGCCCTCTCGCATGCAAGGAGCAGGCGTCCATGCCCAGCGCACCCACTGAGGAGGAAACTCGGGTCGGGCCCTCACAGTGGGGGCTAAACTGAGGTCTCCCCTCAAGAGAAAGGAATTCAATCTAAACAGAGCTGGTCTACCAACTTTAAGTTCATGACAAAAAAAATCTAAAAGAAGATAAAATACGAATTCTACTGCACACATTGGACCCAGACCTAAAAGAAGTATGCATCGGGAACAATATGGTGTGGAGGACACCCTGTCCCTGCTCTGAGCGGGGTGCCCTGAGGGACACGAGCCCGGGCGGGACTGACCGTGCGTGGCGTGGCGGTGAGCGTCTCCATCTCTTCGTGCGTTAACCAGACATTTCCTGTGGTCTAGGGTGACCCATGACCACGCCCATCCGGGATAAGGGGAGCAGTGACGAGAAGGAAAGGTGGCAGACATGTCAGCCACAGGCACGTAAGAGCAGGCGACGCAAAGGGTGTCCTTTTCACCTTCATGTCAGATGTCCACATGGAAGTAACATGTTACCACCAGCTCTCCCCTTTTACAGAGTAGCCACACCTCACTGACACTGTGCTGTCAACAGCAGGAGAGCAGCCCACGCCTTCCAGGTGTACCTGCCACGCTTACCACCTGAGGTACCTGACAGGCACAGAGGAAACAGGCCGTACTCCTGAGAGCTGTGACTGACTGTCGATTCAATAGATTGAGTGCAGTCTGACCGACAGCACAAAGGGCACAGCACAAAAGCAGGTTCCGTTATGGGAAGACGGTCCTCAGCAGGGGCCGCCGAGAGTAGCCTCCCACCTGGACAACCTCGTGTGGGGGCACCAGGAGGCTGGGAGCAGGGCTGTGTCCACAGAACGGCCCCCTCCCCTCAGCTGGCCTAGGAACAGGCCCTAGCCCCGGGATCCTCAGGGAACAGCTGCCCTGGTCTTGGGGTGCAGGGAAGGCTCCCCCAGGGGAGGTGTGCTCTCACTGCCTACTCAGGAGCTGTCTTTGTCACGAGTTTACGAAACACTGGGGAACCACCGGCTCCTTCCTTTCTAAAAAGGCAAATGAGGTGAACTGGGACAAGCCCACGGGACAAGAGCATCTGGGCAGCAGAGACAGGGGTGCTGTTCACCCCGCCTTCCCTACTAAACAAAACCAACACACGCGCTCTTGACTCACTGTGAGGAGCAGCTACGCGTTCGAATCAGGCCTTGGCCTCCACTCAGACGAGTGTCTATGCGGCTCTGAGGGGCCTGACCAGGTCTTTTCTCCAGAGCAGACTCAGAGCAGAGAGGCCCGGAGCCAATGCCAGAGCTGCCCAGACCCCAGTTACCGAGCATGTGCCCCTGAGGTATGTTTTTAACTTTTCAACCAGCACGCTTTGAAGGATGTTCAAGGTCTCCCCGTGGGGGAAACTGAGCAGACCATGCTGGCACACCTGCTGGTTCAGGACTGCTCACACCCTCGCTCCCAGGGGCTCCAGTCCCCAATGAGCAGCACCCGCAGGCCGAATACATCGGTAGAGAAACACTAGTTATCATGCAACTGGGGATCTAAGTTTTCCCTTTACTTTTCATAAATTTCTATTTAAATGTGATCACCACTTTTCTACATTTCAAACTCCTTCTGTATTACAATGGCAAAGCTGCTGTAAAAGCATTTCATAAAGTGTCTTTTAACCACCAACTGTCACATGAGAAGCTGTAGTGTTTCTGAATGCTAAAATCTTAAACTGGAACCGTGAGTGTATTTCTAAGGAAGCAGGGACGGACACGTACCGTCCTGGACGTGGGTGGGGCCGACGGGCTGGTCAGGGACATGATCTCCTGGATGGCCAGCCGCAGCTTCAGCCGGTGCAGAGGGTTGCTGATGCCGATCTCCCGCTGGATCTCCGTGTCCGACAGGGCCGACATGATGGCCCCGCTCTTCACGTTGGCTCGGCACGCGGCCACATACCAGGCCGGCATCCCCACCCAGAGCTAGAGACAGGAAGTGTCAAGGCCGGGTTAGGCTTAGAGTCTGACGGGAATCACACGCTCACCCGTGTAACACCCTCACCCCCGATGAGAAGGAGGCGTACCTCCAGCCACACGACCACAGTGGGCCCGTCCCATTGTGCAAAAGGTAGACCTTGTCTCCGTGCTTCCTCGAGCAGCTCGTGCCTGCAAATGACAAGACACTTGAAATCAGAGTCCCTACTATACACATACATAAAACACATGGACAGCATTCTCTCCGTAACTGCTCCCAAGTGTAAGAGTGCATGCCCATCACTCCTTTAATCTCCCACATCGCCCACTTATTGCTGGTTTGCTACAAACTACAAAGAATGCCTGGAGGAGGAAATGCTGACTGACTCCTCCATCTCTACAGCATCATCTCCTTGCAGAATAAAGGACACATTTAATAAATAAACATTAGGTAAAAATCAGGCCCCCCAAAAAATATTCAGTAAGTTGGACAATAAAACACTTACTTTTTCTGAAGTTTGCGATTTTTCTCAGCCTGTCCTCCCAATTTGCTAAGTCCCAAGGCGTCTTGAGATGAGTTTTCTGTCTCTGAAATGCCAGCTACGAGGAAGCAGAGTGGTTGAAAGAGAGATCAATATGGGCACCTTAGACGGTTTCATCAACAGGTGGACAGTGTGAGCAGGTAGAGTGAAAAACTCTATAGGCTGTTTATAACGTCACGCAGATGCCCAGAGAAGTAAACCGCTTACTTCCACAAGAAGCTGGTGGCTCTCTGGTTTGTAGGTACACACGGGGAAAATGTGCCTGTCCCTGGCCTAGGCCCCAGGAGAACACCCAGCTGGTAAGGCAGACCCCACGCAGGATGGATGGGGCACACAGCAGGCACACCTGGCAGACCCTACCCTCACGGCTGGCTGTTTGCTGAGAACACCGACCTTGTCCCAGCGCCTCCTTGCCGATGTGCCCAGGGCGCATCTTTTCCTTCTTGCCAAACAAGCGGCCGATGGAGGACTTGATGCCCTTCTTCTTGGGGGCTTTGTGCAGCGAGTCCTGGCTACTGTTACTGCTGCTGGGGTTGCTCACCGGGCCATCCTGTGAGCCTGTCGAGCTTTGGGGACAGAAAATGATCTTTAACAGGTGCCCCTGTCACAGGAACCAGAACTCTCCATGTTTTTAATACCCGCTCTCAAACTTCACCACAAACATCTCCGTCTCTTCTGCGACACCTACTTCACAGAACACACATGCCAGGAAGCTTGGGCTCCCGTGTCTCCCGACAGAGCCCTGTTTCTGGGAGGCCAAGGTTCTTCTGGGCCTGGGAGACTCCTTCCAAGGAAAGCGGGGCTCCACACCACCTGCCACAGAGGGCATGACCGACCCCACCCAGGTCACCTCTCAGCTAGTGACACGGCAGTCCCCACTCTCTGCAGCTCCCTCAGCCTCCCCGAGTGCAACTGTCCTGGCCGTGGAAAGAGCAAGAGTAACCAGCTGCAGGGCTGTCTCACTGGGCTCCTGAGGGCAGACACCCGGGAGCAGGAAGGACAAGTGAAGTCCCGCAGCTCAAAGGTACAGGGGCACCTGAAAGCTACCGATTGCCTTACAGGGATGACCACCAGAAACATGCCATGTGCGGGGCAAACGCTCCCACAAGAATAGAACGTTCGTTCTCAAACCAGTTGATTTGTGGAGTCTGAAGAAATGAGGTTTTCCTAAAATTGTGGATCTGGCCTAAGTCTGTCTTCCCGCACTGCCTCTACCAATCACGCCTGCACCCGTGGCATCACCGCAGCTCCAGGGCACGGCCCGCATGCTGAGAACACCATTTCAATAAACGCTACTGAATTAGCCAGTATTTCTTTAAAAACATTGTTCTGACTTTTTTAAACAAGAAAAGATCAAGAGCCTTGGCCAGTGTTGCCAAGTGGTCAGAGCCTTGGCCTGCAGGTTTGTTCCCCACCCAATCTGGGCGCATGTGCAACCAATCGATGTGTCTCTCTCACATCCATGTTTCTCTTGCTCTCCCTTTCCCTCCCTCCCTTCCACTCTCTCTACAGCAAACAAACATACAAACAATGGAAAAATATCCTTGGGTGAGAATTAACAACAAAATAAAATCAATAGCTTGCCCGGCTGGTGTGGCTCAATGGCTGACTATCAACCTATGAATCAGGAGGTCACGGTTCAATTCCCAGTCAGGGGACATGTCTGGGTCACACGCTTGATTCCCAGTGGGGGGCATGCAGGAGGCAGCTGATCAATGATTCTCTCTCATCATTGAAATCTCTCTCTCTCTCTTCCCCTCTCCCTTCCTCTCTGAAAGTAAAAAGAAAAAAAGACATTAAAAAAATAGAGGGAAGGAGAATGGTCTTTCTTAAAAAAAAAAAAAAAAATGCTTTCTTAATGCTGAAAATCCAGACAAGTATGTTTCCATGGTGACTGGCTCCGCCCCACCCCTTACTTCCTATAGACTGTGCCTCCTTACTTCCTGAGGTCCCGGATGTCTTCGTGGCTGACCGTGTGCAGGGCTCCTTTGTGCAGCCTGTCCAAGCGCAGGGACCTCGGGGAGGGAGGGGGGGATGTTTCACATTTTATTGTTGTCTTGTCATCTCGTACCTCTTCTCGGGAAGCTGGCAACTGAGGGGTGGAGAGAAGTGTAAACTTAGTTAACAACAGACTTGACCAAAAAAATAAAAAATCACACAGGCTTTAAATTACAATCATCCACTTATTTGAAAATCTTCTGGCTCTGCTTTTGTCTGAGTACAAAGCGGTCTCGGGCTAATGCCATTTTAAAGGCAGGTCTTGTTCACAAGACACAGGGCCACGGACCAAGCGCACAGCCCAGAGCCTGGCCCCAGTCCCCAGCTGCTGCACTCGGGCTAATGTGGGCCCTGGCGGGACACAGGGACACTCCTGTTCCCGAGCCTCCATGCAGACTAGAGTCCTAGGACACCATGGGGACAGCCACTGATGGGATGGCAGAGACCTGGACCACATCATCACGGACCAGGCGGCATTCGCTCTCCCCAGTGGGGAGCGGGGAGAATGTGTGGATCCGGTGCCCTTCAAAAGAAATGCCAGCAAGGGCAGAACCCTTTTGGGCAAAACTATCCAGACCTTTTTGTTTAGAAGGAAGAAAAAGAAACAGCTTGTACCATGACCCAGTACGATTTCAAATAATGATTCAAATTACTGGAGTAACAAACAGTTAAAAAAGTGAAAAGGTAACTAACTCCTCCACCCCCACACTTGTGTCTGGCCCGTTTCTCAATAATGTTTAGATTGGGTGTCATAACTGAAACATTATATGCGGTTGAAAAACAATGTGTTCACTCTGGCTTAGAGGAAATAACCCTAAGTTTTCACTAAAAGATGGTCTCCATGGTCTTGAAGATTCTAGGTGTGCCAGGATGTGAGTATGGGAAGCAGGGCGATGGCAAGAGCATGGGGAGCAGATGGACCCTTAGGACTCATGTACATATTTGAGTTTCATGTTTAGGGCAGGGCTGGACATCACGAACTGCCCCTCGCAAGCACTTGTGTGCACAAAGAGACTTGAGCAGCCACCATACGCCTTTTGAAAAATGATATTGTGTAAAAATATCGATCCACTGCATCCCAGAGGCTCGGTGATGACCAAGTGAATTAGTGCAGAACAGAGCTGAGCTCATTCAAGACATAACCATTAGCAACAGCTGGACAATTCTGCATCCTCTCCTCATTTCCAACCATCAGACCACAGGCTACAATGGCTAAACCTATCACTGTTAAACTTAGGGGTAGATCTCAGATGCAGGTTAAAACAATGATTTGTGAAAACCCAACAACAAAAAACAGGACGGGAAGTGACCCTTGTGGCTGAACTGACTGTAAACTCCATGAAGACCAGCAACTGCCCAAGCAAAGGCCGCCCCTCGTTCAAAGTTCAGTTGACATGAGCCTGTTGCTAAGGACATCTCCCGGCTCACCCCATGTGGCCTGGCCGGCCCTCTCTGTGCTCCTACTGGAAGGTGCTCCCCATGCTGGACTAGAGTCTACGTGCCATTTCAGACTTGACGACAAGGGGAGGCTCCGTGGAGCTGGGAAGTCATCTGGGCATATCCAAGGACACTGGGGAGTAGAAAGGCGCCATTGCATACCCATTGGCCGCATCTGCATGGCGACAGGCACTCCGCACACACCTGGTTGCATCCTCACAACCACCCCAGGGCAGTCATGACAGAACAAATATAAGTGAGCTAAGATTTAGAAGAAAAAAAGTAACTGGAAATAGAACATTTTTTCACCAAAAATCTTTAAGTTATTCAGCCCTGGCTGGTTTGGCTCAGTGGATAGAGCGTCAGCCTGTGGACAGAAGGGTCCCAGGTTTGATTCCGGTCAAGGGCACATGCGTAGGTTTCTGGCTCGATCCCCAGTAGAGGGTGTGCAGGAGGCAGCCGATCAATGATTTTCTCTCATCATTGATGCTTCTCTCTCTCTCTCTCTCTCTCTCTCTCTCCCTCTCACTTCCTCTCTGAAATCAATAAAAAATAAAAAAATAAATTATTCAAAATTTACTAGAGAAACACTATGATTACTCAGGGAAATAAAATTCTATTACAACCTATAAGATTAATTAAAATAATGCAACCTATGTATCAAAGAGCCCTAATAGTTGTCTATTCTAAGCCAAACTTCTCTATTCTTTAGGTACTATATGTTTGGTAAGTTGATGACATCGACAGTCTTTTTTTTTCTTCATATATTTTATTGACTTTTTTACAGAGAGGAAGGGATAGGGATAGAAAGTTAGAAACATCGATGAGAGAGAAACATCGATCAGCTGCCTCCTGCACACTCCCCACTGGGTATGTGCCCGCAACCAAGGTACATGCCCTTGACTGGAATCGAACCTGGGACCCTTGAGTCCGCAGGCCGACACTCTATCCACTGAGCCAAATCGGTTAGGGCGACATCGACAGTCTTGAATACAAAGGAGCCCGTCAGTAGCCCAGGCTGTCCTGCCCGGAGACAGATCAGCACACCACTTCCTTCATTGAATGCCTTGCTAGCAAGAAAAGTGAAGTATGAGCCAGCAGGACGGGAGGTGTGCTCTGTGCCTGTCGCTAGTGTAAGCTCTTCATCACCTGTGGCCTGTACACAGACAGGCACAGCCCATGGCCTCCCAACAGCACGCTTTCTGTCACTGTCTTCATTTCACAGGAGAGCAGAGCTGGGCACCAAAAGGGCGAGGAGCACAGCCAGGCCACACACCACGCAGCGACAGAGCTGGACCGTCACCACACAAGGTCCCTAAATCGCCAGGCTACTCTGCGCGAGGGAAGGCTCACACCACTGACCACCTGAAGGGCTGTCCGAGTGCGTGAGCACACAGGCTTGGGAGGGGGTAGACTGGTGCACAGCGTGACAATCACGAGGAAGTCATTTGGTTCCATCCTCTGAGAGCAGGGAGACCCAATTCATGGTCATCTATATGGAGAAGAGGCCCTGACACCCCTGGCAGGGATGCTGCAAAGGAGCCGAGAGCATCTGGGAAAAGGTAGGCTGGAGAGCGACGTGGCCAAGTGTCCAGGCTTTGAAACCAGACAGATCGTACTGCACTGTTTCCTGACTGTGTGACTGTGGGCACAGTGCGTGACACCGCTCCAAGCCTCAGTTCCCAAGTCTGTAAAATGGGGGTAACAACAGTAACCCATGTCTCCCAGGGTGTGTGTGAGGATCAGATGACAGACTCGTAAGCATGGAGCACAGAGCCTGGCATATAGTAAGAGCTTACTAACTGCTGCCAGCTATGATGATTAAAACTGGTGTTTCTCAGACCTAAGATCCATGGTTCTGCTTTAATAGTCAAACACCACGTTTGTTATAAACATGAAAGCAGCGACTGAAAGGCAACCAGGTGGGAGGAAGGCCAACGCTTATGCCCATCATGGCTTCTGTGGAACCACCAAGGACCTATTTCTAACAGTGTCATTACCTGCCCTCGGTGTGCATGTATATACAGTGACAGACACTCTTCACAGAGAAACAAAGGCACGTTACATCACGAAAATTTACCTTTCTACGATGTTTCCTTAAATCACTAGGCTGATAGATGCATGCAAAGAAAGGAAGAAAAACCAGGTTTACTGCACACTTTGATGTTAAAAATCCAACCATCAGTATATACAGGCAAATACATTTAAAAAAGAATGACAGGACAAATATAAGTGAGCTAAGATTTAGAAAAAAAAAGTAACTGGAAATAGAACATTTTTCACCAAAAATTTAAATATAAGTTATTCAAAATTTACTAGAGAAATACCACGAATTATTACTCAAGGAAATAAAATTCTATTACAACATATAAGATTAATTAAAATAATGCAATCTATGTAACAAAGAGCCCTAATAGTTGTCTATTCTAAGCCAAACTTCTCTATTCTTTCATTTTTCTTAATGAAAAACAAGTTACACTTCAAACGATCAGTCTTATAACTGTTATAAAACTGAACAAACCTAATTGGAGTTCATCACCTGTTGGATGTTAATGTAAAATCCTTGTCTAGAATTTAATTTAAAATGCTCAAAAAAAAGTTTTATTGACTACAGCAGGGAACCCCCTGAAAATCTGTAAGAATAAAAGCTAGAATAAGTAGGTGGAATCTTCACATTCTGTAATTCATGATCTTTAAATTAGAAAAGTAGTCTGTTAAAAGTATTAACTGTGCATGTTCAGTAAGTTGATGCTCTTGATGGTCTTGAATACAGCATCACAACCAGAAGGTATACTGTTTGTGTCAAGATTCCATTAATCCTACACTTAGTGGATCATTTCTTCACATTTGTAGAGGTAACATTTCACTTACGAATTACACACATCCTATAGTTTTGAGTAAAACCACTCTGATCCATCTATATCATGCCTATAGCCTCATCTAAAATATATCATCATTGCAGGGAAAAACACTATTCAATGAAAAATGAAGAAAAAGCATAAAGTCACCAATGAGCTGAGCGTGAACAGTCACTCCCCATGGACCACATGGCTGCCGTCACTTGGGCCTGTGGTGGAGGGAGGTGTTGCAGCCAGGGAGAGGGGAAGGGAGGGAGGAATAGACTACGGGGAGATGGGGGACAGGGGAACTGAGGCCTGGATGAATGGTGATTAAACAAGCAAAAGGATGATGCAGGAGATCAAAACCAAATGCAGCAGACACAGGCCAGCCAGCATGCAGAACTACACGCAAGGGGAAAATATCCAGCCTGTTTATAAATTCTCAGAGAAAATAAATATGAAACCCTAAGTGAAATTGTCAGAGTTTAAAATACTAGCTAATTAGCTAATGATGTAAGTTACGGAGAGTATGTCACATGCCACCGGAATGATGCAGAGGTGAAGTGGCTATCTGCTGGCGGGCAGTGTGGCTTAAAGTGAGTGTGGGTGGGACAGGAAAGGGCGGTGGTGCGGCTGCACAGCACGCTGTTGGTCAGGGTGCAATGTGAGGCAGCGCTCATGCAAACCTAAACCAGATGCGTGAACAAGGGTATCGCTCTGTCACCAGGGCCACAGGTCACTGCATTTCCAGATGCTTCCTAGGAAGCCACTCGGCTCTTTATGGGTGGCTGCTGGTCTCCCAGGCAGCATGACTAAGAGGGCCGGTCTGCCTTGTTTGGTTGCTGTTTTCTGATGGCAGGCCCTGTACCCTCCAGTTAGGCAACCCTAATGTAAAGGAAGACGGCCTCGGCCTTGGTACACTTCTCTATCAGCTACGAGGCTGCCTATACTTACTCTGTTCAACTGTCCATTCCTAAAAAACGGAAATACTCCCCCTTGAAGCTGCCATGCCCAATTGGTCCCCCGAGAAGTAAAATTCATTGTCACCGTGCTGCTGTCGAATGACTGATGACATACCAGCTGGTTTTCAAAACCTTGGACTTCCAAGCATAACATATGCGAAGCAAAATACCTGATTTTCTTCTGGGTCAAACAAAGAGCACATGTGCAGTGTCCGAGACAGAACTCGCTGGATGGGGAGTGCAGCGGCGAGCAGGCAAACACTCACCAGAGTCATGACGCCTAGTCTGTCCACTTCCCGAGCGGGGCTGTGCGGGATGCGTCGAGGGGTGGACCGACCGCTGTTGGGAGGGGAGGAGCCCGCGAGTGAGGACGCAGGATATGGAATGGAGCTCATGGATCTGAAACGGCCGAGGTTGTCCAGGCTCCCACTGCCAACGCGGCTTTCGATCTCCTCGGCCCGCTGCTCCGTGCTCTCCTTTTCCTCCTGAATCAACCTGGACAAACACAGACAGGCCACCCGCTGTCAGCAGCAGCACCACGCCACTGTGTAGAAACCGTGTGCAGGTGAGGGGCATTTCTGCCGTGCTAGTTGTACAAGAACAAGACCTGGTGGCCGCGCCACCTGCATGTACGGCAGGCTCAGCACGTGGCGCTCTTCACGTGGCCTTGGGACCAACCGGGTGTGTGGCTGCATCAGGTCTGAGCAGGTCGGGCCTCAGGGCACCCTGGTCACGGCTGCGCCCCAACACCTGGGGCCTCCTAAGCCCAGGCAATTCTTTGAATCCTGCCCCAGATGGCCCACTCTTGTACTTTTACTACTAGAACTGCTGGGAGGTTTCTAAGGAAACCCTTTTAAAATATTGATGAGCCTCAAAGAGCGCACACACCCCTTGTGACCGGCACTGTCCCGCAATGCACCAGTCCCTGTGCTGTGTTAATTTAATATGGCCAAGTACAAACACCAAGGGGATTTGCCAACCTTCACACCTTAGCTTTCCTGTTCGAAGTGGCTGTGTGATACACACCGCACTCTGCAGGGCGGGAGGACGCACATGTGGCAGGTAGCCCCCACCCGCAGCCTCCCAGGTGGGCAAAGCTCCAGGGCCCTCCAGCTGGGTCCTGAGCTTTTGGGGATGGAACTGAACACCTCTCACCCTGCCGCGGCACCTTACACAAATGTGCCGACACCACAGTTGTAGAGGGAAGGCCCTGGCTGACTGAATTCCATAATAAAGGGCAATTTCAAAACTTAAAAACCCTTCAAACAGAACTGAAGTATTATTCTAGAGCAGTGGTTCTCAACCTTCTGGACCTTTAAATACAGTTCCTCATGTTGTGACCCAACCATAAAATTATTTTCGTTGCTACTTCATAACTGTAATGTTGCTACTGTTATGAATCGTAATGTAAATATCTGATATGCAGGATGGTCTTAGGCGACCCCTGTGAAAGGGTCATTCGACCGCCAAAGGGGTCACGACCCACAGGTTGAGAACCACTGTTCTAGACCATTTAGACACTGCTCGCTGCACCGGCTCCAGCCTTCTCTAAGTGGGGTACAGTTCCCCGGGGACACTGTCTGTGTGCCGGGCATAACTCCATGTACAACCCCGTATACCTGATCTCCTTGTTGATGGCGTCCAGCTGCTCCTGCAGCATCATGGCCAGCGTCTGAGCGTCGGCCTGCCCACTGGGCGACAGCAGCGCCGACGAGCTGAAGAGAGTGTCCCCTTCGTCCTCGCCGTCTGACAGGTCGACATCGCTCTCAAACGCCTGTGCCACGTTGGCCAGGACGCTGGCTTGCTGGGCACGCTCCCAATCCTGCTCGTTCAGAGTCTGTACCTGTGAAAAGAAACCCCATCTCAGCAAAGACGCAAGAGTATAACCACAGTCAGAGCAACTTTAAGGAAGTCAAAGTCAAAAGTTTTCAAAAATTTCTAAATCAAGCCAGAAAGATTCTCGAAAAATGGGCCACGCTACAAGCTGCTGGCATCAATCAAGATTAGCCAGTGAATGTTAATTTAATTAGTGAGCGAATGCTCATTTACATTAAAATAAAATGCTTAGCCTGGCTGGCGTGGCTCAGTGGTTGAGTGTCAACCTATAAACCAGAAGGTCAGGGTTTGATTCCCGGTCGGGGCACATGCCCGGATTGTGGGCTCAGTCCCCAGTGGAGGGCGTGCAGGAGGCAGCCAATCAATGATTCTCATCACTGATGTTTCTGTCTCTCTCCTTCTCCCTTCCTCTCTGAAATAAATAAAAATATGCTAAAAAAAAATATATATATACTCTTAAAACTAAAAAGATAAATATTGTCGACCCTTGAACAATACAGGGTTAGGGGTGCCAACCCCCTGCACAGTCATAAATCTATGTATAACTTTTGACTCCCCCAAAACTTAACTACTGACAGCCCATTGTTGACTGGAAGTCTTATCAATAAGATAGTCAATTAACACATACTTTATCTTACATTATACACTGTACTTATAATAAAGTAAGCTAGAGGAAAATACATTCACGATGCTGTACCTACTCAGAGATACCTAGTCCTAAGTGTAAGTGGTCTGTTTACACGTTGGAAAATTCCACAGATAAGCTACCTGCACAGTTTAAAACCGTGTTGTTCAAGGGTTAACTATACGTGCGCTCATTTATTCTTCACTACTACTTCAAGACTACTAATCGGCACTGTGTTAGAGTAAGAGGTCATATTTTATTAGAATTTCCATTCCTTAAAAAAATAGCACACCTCAAAAATAAACTTTTAGCTAGAAAAAGGGACATGGGGGGGAGGGAAAGAGAACGTGACCTATTGACACTGTAATTCCAAAACACTCTCAAAACTATGAGGTAAACAGGTGACTTGTGCAGGCAGGTGACCCAGGGAGAAGACGGAGCGCTTGCCTTGGAAGGCTCGTCCCGCAGCGCTGCCACGCGGCCTTTCTGGGGGCGCCGCAACACCACGCTGCTGCTGTAGGAGTCCGTGGGACCGTCTGCCACGGGGAACCTGAAGTCTGGGACGCTGCCCAAGTGGGGTCGGCTGAAACATGGGAAAAAAACATTATTAGAAGAAAGTCAACTAACTTTGTTGGTCAGGCCAGACCTGTCAATCTGGGAAATAAATAAATTTACGGCAAGGTCTCTACGGAGGGCACAGAGGGGCCTCTGCTTGCTCCAATGCCCACGCCCTGCCAATCTTTCCTCTTTCAGCCCCTCCAGGAGGGAAACCTCGATGCCCAGGGAAACCAATGCGACACCGCAAACGTGACCCTCAGAACTGTCCCTTGGTCAGGCTGCGCAGCCTGGGTCATCTCCGCTTTCTCCCTGATTGACCTGGGGGCACACCCGCATGTCACTCCTGGCCTCCAACTGCTTACTTTCCCAGCTGCCAACAACCACCGCGTGAGGCTGCCGGCCCCCAGCCCCCACCTGTGAGGCTGCCTCAAGTGCACCCTGGAGGACCTGCTGCAGGAGCCCCTGAACCCCAGCTGGCACTGACAGGAACTGGACTTGGCAGCTTGCTTTCATGTTTCCAGATCCAAAGCACAGACCAGTGTGCAATCAGGTTAGCACACACTCAACACTTTTGGCTGGAGGAATCTCCCGAACAGTGGCCAGGCCTGGACACCCTGGGCGGAGATGCTGAAGGAGCCACTAGCTGTCACCAGGAGGCCTGCCAAGAACCTGGTCAGCGGGGGATGGAGCGCACTGCCCACAGGTCCCACCTTCACTGGGCAGGGCACCACACTCAGTCCTGCCACCGTCACCTGGGAAACAAGGGTGCTGCCTTCATTCTTAAAAGTCCTTAGGATCTGGGGAGATAAAACCCACCCACCTGATCAAAGCAAGTTAACGGGTCCCCTTGTGCCTGGGCACGCGACCTGCGGACAGGGCCAGTGGGACATGCCAACTCATCCCCTTTTGGTTCCCACACCTCTACATTCTTTCAAGAAATGTTTCTGAAGTGCTGCTCAGACTTACTGCTCATCTAAAAATGTCCACGTCAGGAATTTCCTCTTTCCCTTGTTCCTAATGAACTGCTCCTTCCTCCTCAGCAGGGTTCCAGCTGTGGTGGGGCTGGGCCTTGTTTCACACCAGCTGAAAGCCACGCGCACAGTCCTGCATGTCATTCTGGATGATTTCTCCAGAGTCCGCAAGTGCCTACTCCTGACACCGATCTCCAGGCTGCCTCGCCTCCCCACTGCCACCACCCTGCAGCTAGTCCCCTCAGGAGCGAGGCTCTTGTCCACATGCCGTCTATTTACGGAAGCCCGTCCATCAGCTGCCTTTCCCACTCCGCCTGGGCTCTCTCCTGTCGCTCCAGAAGGTCACAAAACAAGCTGACAGACCCCACTGCGAAGTCACGCCCAGAAGCCGAGCTCATGCCTGCTTCTCTTTACCCTCCCAGCCAATGCCTGTCCCAGGCGCTCTGCGAGGTGTCTTTTCCCACCTCTGGCTCCTCTGTGAAATCTGCAGGTTTGCCTCCTCGAAGTCTCTCCTGCCACTGTCCCCCACACAGCCTCTCGGTTCCTGTGCCCGTGCCTGTCACTCCCGGGTCTGATGCTCTCTGAGGCCCTGGGCTTTGCCTGCCTGTCCCTACACCACCAGGGCCTTGTTCTGCGGGGCCTTCCAGTGCACACACCCATGAACTGATCACCCCGCTTCCAAACCTCCTCCAGGTGCTGAGCCTGGCCTGGCCTCCGGGGCCCAGGCAAGCTGCAGCCAGTGATGCTGCTCACCCAGCCAGGCATGCGCCCTGTGCACACGACAGGGCGGAGGCCGACTTCATACCTGTGATGAAGGGAAGCACCTCTGAGCCGCATCTGGCTCAGTTCAGCCCTCAAAGCTTCGATGTTCAGTACCAGCTGATTCTGCAAAACAGCAAGTGACACCCATTGAAGATCTCAGGATGCAAATTCTTCACACAGTAGGTTAACTGAACAGTGACAAGTACCAAGCGCTTTAATTCTAAGAACATTTTCTCCAAAAGTCCTAATGTAAACAGACCCCCCTAACCCCCAACGAATAATTGCACACCTGCACTCACCTACCATTTGTATGCTCAACCTTTCTATACGCTGCAAAGTATTAAGTCAAGCTGACAAAAAGCTGTTGCAGGCACCCCTAAGCTGTGTCTCAGTGCTACCCCAAGTAGCTCCTATAGTGGCCCCACGTGGCCACGGAGCCCTCGAAGGGGCAGTCCCAGTTGAGATGTGTGGTGACTGTAAGACTGTAAGGTGGATTTCAAGCTTCATATGATAAAAAGCATGGGAAGGAGCTCATCAATTTTTATATTAATTACATGACAAGGTAACATTTTGATTCTACTGGGTTAAACACAAGTACTTTCACCTATCCTCGTACTGTTTAAATGTGGGCCGCTAGGATCACGCGTGGCTCAGTGTCTTCCGACTGGCCAGGCCTGTGCTAGGGGAAGGTTTGTGGTTCTGTCGTAGCTTTTCCGTGAAGCCAGAAGGAAGCAGTCCTGGGCCACGTGCACCACCAGACGCACAGCCACGGAGCAGTGGGCTCGCACAGAGAAGCCGCCTCAGCACCCCCATGCCGCAGTGGTCACAGCAGCACTGGACGCAGCTCCGTTCTGCTCTCAATGAGGGTCTAAATGGGTTACAGACTTAAGTACCTTATCATGTTGAGTTTCTTCTAGTTGCTTTTTTGCATCTTCAACTTCACGTACTAGAGAATTCTGAAAAAGATACAGTGCTTTAGTGTTGATTCGGGACAATGCTCCACGTGATATCAGATGGCTGCGTTTCTGTTTAAAATAATGAAGTACCTCAGCAAAGGAATGAGGCATAAGAATGTACTGCTGAGCAGCACCACACTCCCAGAGTGAGGCCAGAGGAACCGTGAACAGTCCCTGGTAAGGTAAACTTACTTTTCTGACTGCCTTCCGAATGTTGGTGTGGACATTCATTTTAATTGTTACACTGGTCTGCAGTGGCCTTTAAGCCATTAGGGAAAGCTAACACAGGTTCACATGCCGGCTTCAGCTCCCAGATAAAAACATTCCTGCCTGCCCAGCCAGTGTTGCTCAGTGGTTGAGCAGTGACCTATGAACCAAGAGGTCATGGTTCGATTCCCAGTCAGGGCATATATCCGGGTTGTGGTCTCAGTCACTAATGTGGGGGAGTGTAGGAGGCAGCCAATCAATGATTCTCTCTCATCATTGATGTTTCTATCTCTCTCTCTCCCTCTTCCTTCTTCTCTGAAATCAATAAAAATAAATAAAAATTAAAAACATTCGTGCCTTCGGGTTGGCCCACTGATCAGGGATGTGTGTCACCAACCATCCTGTGCAGCTCAGACAATGCGTTTCATAGTGTCTGATGTGTCGCACCATCAGTAGAGATCACTGGTCTCTCTCAAATGAGCATGACCAAATGCCAATCCCAACAAAGATTCTGGGTCGCATCTCTAGGTACACTGGTGCCATCAGAACAATTTTATTGACCTGGACCCCACTGGCTCCCACTGGGGTCCTGACAGATCCTAGAATGTGTCTCCTCTCAGTCATAGCTAAGAATTCCATGGCGACAGCAGCGAAAGCCCAGGCTCAGACACTTTCCAAACCAAATGGAAAGAGAGAAGGCAGGTGGTAGAACGGGACTCTGAGACAGAAATCAACTTCCAATGCAAGAGCAACAAAGGGGTGAGGGCCGGGCCTCCCAAAAGATTCTAGTGTAGGGGTTGGTAAACTGGCGCCTGTTGGCGAAATTCAGCCCACAGCCTCTTCCTGTCAATCAATTTTTATTAGAACAGCACACCAACTGATTTACATACCGTGTCTTTGGCTGCTTGCATGTTCATTGATTAGCATGGAATTATTTTACTCAGTTTGTAATTATTAGCAAGAGTGTAAAATATTTACTGTCTGCTCCTTGAAAGAAACGGTTTACTGACTCCTGTTCTAGAGAATAAGAATGACAAACGATTTTCCATGTACGCAAACTGCGCAAGGACATGGCCAGTGAAAGCCACTTCCGCTGGAAGATACTGTCTGCTTTCTGCACTGGCATTGACCGTTAGGCACTGTGGGGCGGGAATGCCCTCAGGGCAACCAACCTTCTCTTCCAGAGCAGCCATCCTCTCCTTAAGGTGAAGCTGAAGTCTCTCATTCGATTCTGAAAGGAGCCTGTCAACAGTTTCTGATAAGCGTTTATTATGTTCTTCATTCATCTTTTCTCTCTGCCGTGCCTAAAACAGGAGAAAAAAACTCAGCGCCCTGGCTGGTTTGGCTCAGTGGATGGGGTGTCAGCCTGTGGACGGAGGGGTCCTGGGTTCCATTCCGGTTGGGACACAGGCCCAGGTTGCAGGCTCAGTCCTCAGTAGGGGGCGTGCAGGAGGCAGCCGATCGATGATTCTCATCACTGATATTTCTCTCTCTCTCCCTTCTTCTCTGAAATCAATACAAATATATTAAAAAACAAACAAACACTTAGCAACTTCCAGCAAAGGCAGGATCATTATTTTAAAAGTGCCAAGGGCCGACGGTGTGGGCGATCTGTGCTCTCAGCCCTAGGCTGTCCCTCCCCATCGCCTGTAGTGATGACAGGAGCACTAGGACCCACTCGCAGGTGCAGAGTCGCAGGGACGAGTCTGTGAGAGATCACCAAGGAGAAGGCCCTATTGCTTCTGCTGAACAAAGCACTAGTGGGCCTCAGGAACCCCTCCAAGCAGCTGCCAGACTGACGCAGGAGGCAGACTGACATGCAGGAACAAGGGTGTTTATGGGGATCCGATTATGTACACACACTGGGGACCTTCCCCGCGTGTAAACAGAAGCTTGCGTCTGGATTCAGGGGAGAAAAGAATTTAACCCACAAAGCAAAAGGTAAAGAAGTTCATTTTGGAAAAAAGTCAGTGGTAATAGAGAGGCTTTCACTTGTATTTCTTTATATTCCTACATCTCTTGAACATTTTATAATAAAGATTTATATTAAAAAATTACAAATACCTTAATTTTAAAATGTATTAACAAAGTGTTAAGTCTATAGTTGATAAAACCATCACCCATTTCATGGTTTAAAAAGCTTGCTTTTGTCCCATATCCTAAGTGCAGGGACAGGAAGTGCCAACAGGCAGCCAAGTCAGGGTGGGCCGCTGGAGCGTGGCAGGCGCTTCCCCAGGGGGAGGGCAGCGTGGCCAGGGGCTGAGAGGCGTGCTCAAGCCACGCTGCCCGGGTAGGAGTGGTGAACTCACAAGAACTCGCTGCGGGACTGTGCTTCAGTTTCCTTGTCTATAAAATGTGGTGCCAGTGTCTCCCTTTTCTCTATGGTCTTGTAAGGATTAAAGAGAAAGTCCTCCAAGCCAGGCCTAACACTCTGCAACCACCATCTGGAGGAGACCCCATACAGTAAGGTGTTAACATTCGAATATTTTGAGAGCAAAACTTAAAAGTTTACTTTGAATTGCCTTAGTTATACACAGAATCCCCATCTCAGCACCTGTCCTTCAACTCTATAAGCCAGTACTGAAAATAATAGAGAGGCTCAAGCAGTGTGGCTCAGTGGTTGAGAGTCGACCTATGAACCAGGTCACAGTTCAATTCCCGGTCAGGGCACATGCCCAGGTTGTGGGGCTCAATCCCCAGTGTGGGGCATGCAGGAGGCAGCCAATCAATGATTCTCTCTCATTGATGTTTCTCTCTCCCCCCCGCCACCTCTTTGAAATCAGTAAAAATTAAAAAATAATAAAATGCACCCCTAAATAGCCAAAAATCTAATTCTCCAAGAGGTGAACGTGTGCATGAGCCTGTGCATGTGTGCCTGTGTGTGTGCACAAGCTTGTGTGTGTGTGTGCATGAATCTGTGTATACCTGCGAAGGAGCATGTGTGCATATGTGTCTGTGCGTGTGCACATACTGGGAGGCAGGGGACTGCCCAGCACAGTCCCTTCATCAGAGTCAGAATCTTCTCTTTGTGGAAGCTCATGTCTGATGCTCGGCAGTCCATGACCAAGAATACAGGTTTCTGGTGAAAACAAAATCTAACAGCCTTGCCGAAGCCGGTTTGGCTCAGTGGATGGAGCGTCGGCCTGCGGACTGAGGGGTCCCGGGTTCGATTCCGGTCAGGGGCATGTGCCTTGGTTGCGGGCACATCCCCAGTGGGGGGTGTGCAGGAGGCGGCTGGTCGATGTTTCTCTCTCATCGATGTTTCTGACTCTCTGTCTCTCTCCTTTCCTCTCTGTGAAAACTCAATAAAATATATTTAAAAAAAAAAAACAAAAAAACTAACAGCCTTGAACTGATGTCATAAGGTGGATACCCGCTGGACCTGGGGCAGCCACTCTCTTTTCCCTGGATGTGCCATGCTGACCTCTGATGGACTCTTTGTGAAAAGCTCTTAGATCCACCCGGCACACGCCCCACGACCCTGCTCGCGGACTCCTTCCATCACGGCTCAGCCAACAATCCTCATGTGTAGTAATATCCATCCTTATATATACCTTTACGTTGAGAGTAATAATTTGCTATTTCGGGATAGAGGTCAGGAACATAACCTGAATTTGGGACTTGGGTGCCATATCCTAAGCAAGCAGACTCTGCCTAGTCATTTCAGGGGGCCCCAGGCCAGCAACCTCAGTGTGTTTGAGGGGCGCCCATAAATCGGTCCCGCTGGTGCCTGGAGCAATTCCTGACAGGCTCGTCAGGGCTGCAGGCAGCCTCCTTGGATGTGGGGATCCATCTGCCCCCTGCAGGACTGCCCGCAGGGACCAAGTTCTTTCCTGCTTCCAAGGGGACATGATGTTGCCTGTGTGGCAGGGGCCCCTATCAGCAGACAAAGCGCAGATGCAGCCACAAGGTAAATGCACGCAGCAGAGGGAGAAGGGGACAGAGTCAGGGAAAGAGGAGAACTGAGCCTCCCGCACCCGGCGGCCCCCAGGCTCCACGCAGCGCTGGAGCAGACAGATGTCTGCTGGCCACGTACCCGCTGCAGCTCCTGGTTCTTCTCCTCCAGCTGCGCCTCCATCTGGCACAGCTGCTCCTCAATGTTGCCGTGTCTCTCCTCAGCCTGTCGGCAAGAACAGTGTATAAGTTCAACTAACAGTGACGCGACTCTGGGGACCGCATGCTGCAAACTAACTAAAGCGGTAGCAGAAAGCACACATGCTCCGTGCGGCGCTCCCACCCGACGGATGGAAGCGCTTCCTCATCCACCAGCACGTCCTGGGTGGCGGCATGTGTCAGTGGGAGGCAGCTGACCCTCTGAGGGTGGCTCTGGGTGTGGCTGGGGTGTGGTGAGCTCTGTGAGGAAACTGCCTCCCCCCCATGCCCAGGCTCGGGCTTTCTCGTGTCCCCCGTCCTGAGCTTGCGTGCTGAGTGCGCATGGAGCGGAGAGCAAGCACGACCCGACGCGGCACGACTACCTTCCTAAGCTGGGAAGTGAGTTCGCACAGTTTAGCTTCCTTAGCAGCAGAGCTTCCAGGAGACAAAAGGTCAGACTACAGGGCCGACCGAGGACAGGAGAGATGACAAGGACAGGAGAGGTGACAGAGGAGAGAAACCGAGACTTTAAACGCAGATCACGGTGGAAAGGAAGAGCTTCCGTCCCAGCTGTTAGCATGAACTCGCTCACGGGTCTGTGAGCACTTGTGTCAGCTGACTGACCCCACGCTGGCCACGCAGCATTGTCTGTCCTGCCCCTGCCAGCTCCTGAGCTCGAGCCAGTGAGACAAACCATCAGCAGGTGCTCCCCCCCAGGCGCCTGGGCCGCTGGACCGCAGACCTGAGGCTCTCGTAGGCCCAAGAGGGCGGGGTGTCTGTGGCTATGCCCGTCCTCCTCCTGGGGACCCGCCCAGCCCAGGCACCAGGACAGCATTCTGACATCGTCTTGTCATCCGTCTGCTTCCCCCAGGGTGAGGATGACTCTGAGAACAGGCACTGTGTCTTGCACATGTGTAGCCAATATTTGTTGAGCAAATGAATAAATTACTTAAAAAATTTGTTTATTACAAATCCACTCTGACTGTCTGTAGAAGAGAGTGGTCCTCCCCTACTTCTGAGAAGCCCTTCCCTTCCTCTCCACAAAGCTTCCATCCGGGGCCTTGAGCTGCTGACTTAACTCCAAGAAGCAGTGACTCTTACTTAGAGCACCCACGCTGGGGACAAACAGTACACGTCTGACAAACTGGAGGGAAATCAACATCAGGATAACAAATAACTGGGGGTATGCCTGACATTTAAGAAGTGTTCCACTCTCAAACAAAACAGCACTAAACACCAGTCTGGCTATTTCAGGGATTTTGGGCTACCGATGTAAGACCAATGACCAAGGTCCATGAACAAACCATCCCACCAATCAAAGCCCCGTGTGTAAGGGAAGGAAGCCGGGGAAGCACCTTGGAGAGCGCAGCCACCCGCTGGGCCAGCTCAGCCTCCACCTCAGGGAGTGTCTCCGCCTTCCGCAGGGTCTGCTGCAGCTTCTGCTCCGCCAGCTCCAAGCGCTCCTGCAACTGGCGGTTCTTATCCTCAGTCTGTGGAGAGAGCAGAGAAGCGAGTGGGAACAGGTCTCTGTGTGTGTGTGCTTTTTAAAATATATTTTACTGATTTCAGAAAGGAAGAGGGAGAGAGAGATAGAAACATCAATGATGATAGAATCATCGATCAGCTGCCCCCTGCAAGCCCCCTACTGATGGCTGAGCCTGCAACCTGGGCATGTGCCCTAATCAGAATCCAACCGGCAACCTCTGGGTGCACAGGACGATGCCCAACCACCTGAGCCACAGCAGCTAGGGCAGCCACTCTGTCTTTAATCAACTAAGACAAATCTGAATGCTGACATCGAAGTTAGTTCTGATGGGAGAACTCTTCCTGTGAGGAGTTCACACCCACTTTCTTGGGCTTGACTTCAATTGCAAAACACCTCTGGCCAGAGTACTTGCCTTTCCTAAGTATCGTTAAAGAAATCTTGCCAGAAATACAAGTTTCTACACATTAAAGAAACATGCTGGTCCCTTTTCGGTGGGGACTGAGGAGAACCAGGCCCCTCTCACAGCTGACCGCCACGGCGTGGCTCCATCTCCTCAGAAAGGGAGCCCCCAAGAGGATGCCTACGACATGCATCTCAGGTTACTTTTGTTTTTAATATATCTTTATTGGTTTCAGAGAGGAAGGGAGAGGGAGAGAGATAGAAACATCGATGAGAGAGAATCATTGATCGGCTGCCTCCTGTATACCCCACACTGGGGATTGAGCCTGCAACCTGGGGATGTACCCAGCCCGGGAATCGAACTATGACCCCCTGGTTCATAGGTTGACGCTCAACCACTCAGCCACGCCAGCTGGGCTCAAGTTATTTTTGTAAATGTATGATTAGTCTTTTAAAAAAAATCCTCATACTCTACAAAAATTTCAGTGTAGAAAATGCAGACAAAGTAATTTTTTTTAAAAAAAAGAAAACTCAGAACTCATTTATAAGTTCAGGTTCCTGAGATGTTAGCACTTGTTTATACTCAGCTTTCTTCCCTTTCTCTGCCTGCATATATACGGGTAGACAAAAGTAGGTTTACAGTTATAAAACATCTAATAATACAATAATCAATACATAATAACCAAGAGTAAACTGTTCTGAGTACTCACAATTTTAAACCTGTTACACATATACAATACATTATGCTTTCAAACCCTCAGGAAATTCTGTGGCTGTCTGTAAACTCAGTATTGTGAACATCTTACACGCTCTTAAACAGCATTCCACATTCTAATTTATACCTTCCCAGTATTTCATTTGTTACTTTAACTTGGGCGCTAAGGATACACTTTATAATACACCAGACAAACTCACTTTATTTTCAGAAGTGGATTCAGTTTTCCAGTTAACTGACTACCTGAGCCTCCAGAGGAACAAGAACGGTGTGGCTGTGGAATCACCAGAGGTGAACGCTCCCTGCAGGCTGCCTTGCTAAACCCACCGTTTACTATCCTGACCCCAGTCCCTCACAAGCAGCCCACTGCCTCGAAATGGGAAGGTCTTTGCCACTCTGCTTCTTAGGTAAACAGGCTGACAAACAACAGATTAATGAAATAAAACAGAAGAATCAAGGAGTGTAACTCTATAAAATGGTAAAACCAAATCCTACATAATTAAAACTGTTAATTAAAATAACCCATACTTTTCAAACATAATAGTCTGAGATCATAAAAACTTTACTTTGGACTTGACATCAACAGGAAAGTCGCAGGAGAAAGGGCTCTAACTTCCTTAGTAATTAACTGGAAAAGCGAGACCAACTTCCTTAAGAACACTACCTGTCGATGCATAGAGTCCTTGTTGGCAATTTCGTTTTCCAGCTTGTCGTTGAGGTCGTGCACAGAGGTGGCCTCGCGCTGGGCTGCGAGGTAGCGCTCCTCCAGGGTGTTGATCCGCTCCTCCATGTCTTCCTTCTGCGCCATGGCCTACACAGCGTTCAGAGGGGAAGGTAAGTAACAGGGAACACATCAACATGCTGCTGAGAAAAAACTGGACTAAACCCTAATTTTCAAATCAGATATAAAATTAGTGTCTCCAAAATTAAATTGATAGGTCAATTTTCAGCAATGTGAATGGAAACGTGCCTACCTCAAATATCATAAACATGCACCTATACCATTAGCCAGCACTCCCTGTCTTAACACTATGGCTGGCCACTCAGTTAACCAAGCTTATCCTTTTCTACGTAGCATTTCCAAAAAAATGTACAATGAAATATCGCAATATTGCACGAATTCCAGGAGGGGAAGGTATCTGCCTCACGGTACAAGAGGGTTCATCAAGGTGTGATCCCTCAATGGACATGACAGTCAGACACCAGTGTCATTTTCTTGGGTACAAATTGGATGAAATCACATCCAATTACCACAAAATTAAGGAAATCGTTACACTTGGCTGGTGTGGTTCAGTGGTTGAGCGCCGACCCAGGAAATAGGAGGTCACGGTTCGATTCCCAGTCAGGGCACATGCCCGGGTTGCAGGCTTGATCCCCAGTAGGGGGCATGTAGGAGGCAGCCAATCAATGATTCTCTCTCATCATTGATATTTCTATTCCTCTCTCGCTTTCCCTCCCTCTCTGAAGTCAAAACATATGTTTAAAAAAAAAATGTAAGGAGATCAAATGAATGAATGGAAATGGAAGTCAAAGTTTAAGTTAACTGTATACAGCCTTCAAAAGCCTAATCCTGTGAAAATAATTCTCTTACACAGTATTACACACTGAAACTAGGGCCGAACTTTCTGCTCATGCAATTCCTGTCCCCAAGTAGAAATTCATTTTAGGTGCCTCCCCATTGACTAAGTAACTAATGTTAGCAAAGTCTTAATATTAAAAGTGACAGGTCTTTAAAAAAGGAATTTAATTTCAAAATTCGCTGCATATTACTCTGCCACATAAATACTGCCTGTTACCAGAGAACAGTGTAACTAAACCTTAACAGGTTACACTCTATCTACTCCTGTGAGGGTCTGAAAGGCTCTTCCTGAGAGTCCTGGCTGAGATGGTCTCCCCGGGAGAAGAGGTGGGGTGTTTGTCTTGTTTACAAAGAAGAGCATAAAGTGAAGGGGGAGGGGCGATCCAGAGAAAGTATGCAGCCCTCACTGGCTTTTATAATGACGATTATAAATTCTTACACATACAGAAGGAACTGTCTGCCAAATAGGAGTGCATTTCTACGCAATGTGACAGCATCATCCTGATGACCCCATGTGAGCACACTTCACTGTCTGTCTGACCCCAGCATTTAGTATCAATGATTCCTTTGGGGACAGGACATATAAAGGCTAGGAGATTGCCAACGCTCTGAACAGTCAGCAGACAACGCAGATAGCAGGTCAGTGAACTAGCAGCACACCAAACACCAACACCCACATGTTCACGTGTGCGTCAGAAGGAAATCTGAGCATGGTGGAGACTAGGTTCAGACTGCCCAGACCTTGCAGAAATCAGGACTCCACAACCAGGCCATTACACAGTCACGCAGTAGCATGACCAGAAGGGTGGCCTCCTGTTCCTTCTGCCGCCGCCGGTCTAATGAGCAGCTGGACCAGGTCTCCACCTTTCCAGACCTTGGGGAAAGGAGACTGCATCAGCAGAACGGGGAGGGCACCTATCACGGTCTCACAGCACCGTTCTGTTTTTTGCTATTACGTATACAATGATGCGAAGGTTGGAAGCAATTGGGAGGGTAAGGGACAAAAGGAGCAAAACAATCAAACTTTCAGACCACCCCAGCATTTGGCCCGATGATGGCCCTGCAATCTGTGGGCTCGCTTACCTCCCGCACATCTCGCTGCAGCTTCGTGTTCACCTCCTCGGACTTGATGAGGTCCTTCCGGGCCGTGTCCAGGTCCTCCTCCAGCTCTGCCACGTGGGTGGAGAGGGCGGCCAGGCGCTCCTTCATCTGGCTCTGTTCCCGGGCCTGCTTGTCTATGACTTCCTGCAGCTCCATCACTTTAGCAAGGTCTTCCTCATGGCTTAAAGAACCATCAGAGGATCTCTGATGGGGAGAAAAGAACTCTTAAACAGCCTCATCTGAGGAGCTAGGAAGCAAAGTGCTTCTGGGACACAGGGAGACATCAAATGAATATATGCAGTCAGCTGGACCACAACTTCCGCAGGCGCGAGGCTGGACTGGACTGGGCTGTGGCCCAGCGTTCCCCACAGTCCTGCGCAGACCACGGACAGGTGAAACCAGGACTTAGAAAGAGACAGAGAGAGCCAAGGACTTGCCTTTCCATTCGTGCTGGGTGTGTTTTCTTGTTCATGATTTATGTCAAGCACCCCATCTGTCAGTGTTTTTTTCTGATTATTCTGTTCTTTAAGAATCATCAGCTAAAACCAAAAAATCGAATATGAGAGTAAAGCACTAAGTAAAGATAGCAAAACTCGTTTTGGAAAAACACAACTACCAACTGTAAACATAATATAAGAATATATCCATGGGGACGTCAGCCATCCGGACTACGGCCAGATTAGTAAAACCAGAACTTACTCCCTACTGGACAGGTGGTACTGAGAGATATCCTGCAACTCTGGAAGGAAAGTGCCATTCACCAGTCCTTACACTGACTCCAGGGGCTGGTCCTCACTCAGAAAGACAAACAGCACCTGATATCCACTAGCACAGTCTTCATAATTTTTTTTAAATTACGAGATAAAAATGAAAAACCCTCAATTCAAACCATGTGATATACCAAACTTACCTCTTTGTGGGTGGCACCCAGCTCTTCCTCCAGCAAACTACACCTTTCAAGTGCTACTCGTAGGCGCTCCCTCACCTGAAAGCAAACAGAGTTGAAGTGTGTGCATATTTATTTAATGCTTAATGACAGCAATTCTAATTCACCATCATTCTAACATAACACAACAGTATACCTTAACGTCTTTCATGATGTTAATGTCAAGAAAAGCCGTTTGTTAATAGCTTAATAATTTAGAAAAATCTTCTCCCTAAATTATACTATTCAATTCTTAATAACAAATCAATATACAGAATGGAATAAATTTTAAGCCTGGCTGGCATAGCTCAGTGGCTGAGCATCGACCTATGAACCAGGAGGTCACGGTTCAATTCCCATTCAGGGCACATGCCGGCATGCGGGCTCGATCCCCAGTGTGGGGCATGCAGGAGATGCCGATCAATGATTCTCTCTCATCACTGATGTTTCTATCTCTCTCGAACTCTCCCTTCCTCTCTGAAATCAATAAAAATATGTAACAAAACAACAACAAAAACTTTAAAACATTTATGCTAATACTTTTTACCTATACAGAACTCTGTCTTCTCACAGGAAAACTGTAAGAGTTTAAGTTGTGCATATCCATGATGCCCACGGAGCAATGCGGCACATGTTCAAGCCAAGAATAACTGCGGGGCTGCTGTACCTTTTCATCCAGAGCTTTGTGGTGCTCAAACAATGACTTGAGTGCTTTGAGGACTTCCACCTCGCTGGACACGCCTGCCGGGGACTGCGCCTGTCTCTTCACCACGGTCATCCGGAGAGAACGCTCGTGCCTGGAGACAAGGCACTCTAAATGTTCTAGCAGCAGCTACAAGAAAGGCCAAAATCAAACACGTTTAAGGCACACTCTCAGTATCGTATTTGAACCTGGAGCAAATAACTCCCTTCATTCTCATGCTAACACGAGTCTGACTCCCTTCAATTTGGTCTAAAGTCAGAGAGAGCCCTCTCAACGGTATTAAAATATTAGTTCTTCTCATCATCAATTTCAAGCCAGGACCGAGAACACTGAACTGATCAAATGCAGTTGAGTCACGGGAGATGTTCAAACTGTGCTTGAAGCCAGACGGAGTGGGTCGTCTTTGAGAGTAAAGCCAGCAGCACAGCTCTGGACAGCGACCCAGAGGCCAGTGTGAGAGCACGCAGACCAGACTCACCCTGGTGTTGTTTCTTTCTGCCTTCAGTTCAGCAATTTCTTCTTCCCGCTCAAGCAGCTGCTCCCTGCACACATTGAGCTCTTTAGTAAGTGCTGCAAACTCCTGGAAAACAGGACAGACGCTGTCAAGATCCCAGGGCTCACGCAGAGGGGTGATCCCAGGGCTGGGACAAGGGGTGACCCTCCAGAGAAAGAGGTCAGACGATGAGCCCAGACCACAGACCACCTCACTCAGACTGCCTGTCAGGCATTCAATAGAGCGAAACTCCTCTGAAATAACTAAAATTATCTGCCAACGTTTCGCTGCATTTTAAGTTTTTCTCTCTAAAGAACAAAGAAGGGACAAAGGTTCACTTAATCAATCTGACATTCAAATTACGAAAAATGGTTGATACAGATTCTAGACAATTTACAAACAGGTGGCATATTCAAGTTCATGAATAAATTCTTTGAAATCAAAGTCAACTTTACCCCAGAAATGACGCCAGTCATTAGAACCTGACTTTACAAGGCTAGCCTCCAAGAGCTTATTTGAGCCATGACGCAGAACTGAAATACTTGAAAAGAAGCTGTCCCCAGGACTTGAAAAGAAGCAAAACCCAGGACTATTCATGCAAACTGGGGCACATGGTCATCCCACCTGTGAGAGGTGGGTGGACAGAGATGGGAGGGGCAAGACTTCTGAGTATGCCTAGTTCTGTGGTTCTGATTTTTGGATCATATAAACATTTTATATATTTGGAAAAAAATTATATTCCAAACAAAAAAGGCAGACCCTAAAATTAAGAATAATCAAAAACAAATGAACCTAACTGTGTTATCAAATTTTGTGTGGCTATGTTACTTCCTATTGCTTTAAAACATATTATTCTAACTACACTTGACACTTAAACAATGGGGGAGGTTGGCTTAGGGGCACCGACCTGCCCATGCAGTAAAAAATGTGCCTGCATATAACTTCTGACTCTCCAAAAACTTTACTCATGACTGAAGCCTTACCGATCACATAAATAGTCAATTAACACATATTTTGTATGTTATGTTATATACTGTATAATTACAATAAAGTAACTTAAAGAAAATAAAGAAAATCAAGAAAGATAAAATACATTTATAGTACTGTATGTGTATATTGAAAACGAAAATTGCATATATGTGGGTCTGCACAGTTCAAATCCATTTTGTGCAAGGGTCAATTTGCATATAATTCTTTTTTTCAAATTGATTTTAGAGAGAGGCAGGGAAGGAAAGAGAGAGAGGGAAAACACTGCTCAGTCACCTCCCATACATTCCCCAACCAGGGATTGAACCCGAAACCTTTTAGTAGACAGGAAGACTCTCCAACCAACTGAGCCCACACTGGCCAGGGCTGGGCTGCATATATTCTTAAGATATATTTATTCCAAAACTCAAAAGAATTATAAAAACAATTCTAAAACTTGATTCAGTAGGATAATTATAACAATAAGGTACTAAATATCTAAAAAGGATAAAGAAAATAATGTTGCCCTGGCTGGTTTGGCTCAGTGGTTGGAATGTCAGCCCAAGAATAGAAGAGTTTTGGGTTTGATTCCCTGTCAAGGGCATGTACCTGGGTTGTAGGTTTGATCCCCGCCCCGCTTGGGGCACATATGGGAGGCAGCCAATCGATATGACTCACATCCATGTTTCTCTCTCTCTCTACTCCCCCCACCTCCTTTCCACTCTCTAAAAAAAAAAAAAAAAAAAAAAAAAAAAAAAATCAATGGAAAAAATATCCTCTGGTGAGGATTAGCCAAAAAAATATGAAAAAATAAGTGACCACTCTAACCAATGGTTCCCACCTTGTGTCCATTCTTGCCCCCACCCCCAACCTATTCTCTAAGCAGCATAAACATGATCTAAAAACATCCCAACAAACCTTGCTAATCTCTCCACCTGGTCCGTGACAGTATTCAAAGAAACCCTCACTCTTTGGCAGGCAAGGCTCTGACTGCCCACCTGGCCCCCTCACCTGACGCACTCCTCCCTTTGCTGCAGGAACAATGGCCTCACTTCCATGGTGTGAGCCATGGCCAAGTTCTTCCTTGCCTCTGGCCTTAGCCCCTGCAGTCACAGTGCTGGGGAAGGTCTCACGGCTGGCTTCTCTCAGCCTCTGGATCTCTGACCAGAAGAGACCCTCCACAGGCCTTTTCTGGGTCCCTCCTGGACTCCAGTGTGCCACAGACAGCACACCTCACACAGCCTTGGCTGTGTCTTTCTAACTACTTTGTCTGTGAAGATACACCTCACAACCTGTACTTCTGTTGAGAAGCAGTTTGATGTCAGCTCTCGAAAGACAGCTGTCTGCCTCTACCACGGTCTCCTGGGGATATGGAACTCGGAACCTGAGGGGCTCAACTGAAAGTGGAAGGCTCACCTGGCTGGTGTGGCTCAGTGGTTGAGCATCAACCTATGAACTAGGACAGTGATGGCGAACCTATGACACGCGTGTCAGAGGTGACATGCGAACTCATTTTTTTGGTTGATTTTTCTTTGTTAAATGGCATTTAAATATATAAAATAAATATCAAAAATATAAGTCTTTGTTTTACTATGGTTGCAAATATCAAAAAATTTCCATATGTGACACGGCACCAGAGTTAAGTTAGGATTTTTCAAAATGCTGACACGCCGAGCTCAAAAGGTTCGCCATCACTGAACTAGGAGGTCACTGTTTGATTCCTGGTCAGGGCACATGCCCAGGTTTCAGGCTCGAACACCAGTAGGGGTCATGCAGAAGGCAGCCGATCAATGATTCTCTCTCATCATTGATGTTTCTCTCTCTCCCTTCCTCTCTGAAATCAATAAAAACATATTTAAAAATAAGAAAGTGACCACTGTAGCCCTGGCCAGTGTTGTTCTGCAGTTAGAGTGTTAGCCGACACACCTAAGGGTCACAGGTTCATTTTCCGGTCAAGGGTATGTACCTTGGTTGCAGGTTTGATCCCCCAGTAGGGGTCATGCAGAAGGCAGCCGATCAATGATTCTCTCTCATCATTGATGTTTCTATTCCTCTCTTCCTTCCTCTCTCTGAAATCAATACTCCCCCCCTCCCCCCCCTTTATTTTAAAAAAGAGTGGAAGGCTCTGTCTCATGCAGACAATTAAAGGTGCTGACAAGGAGGAAGACAAGGCAGGGCTGCTTTAAAAAAGATGGCAAGTTGTGCAAAAGAGAGAAGATACAAATGGGCCAGTGCTGCTGGGAAAGGATATATTTAACCGTTTCATAAACTAGGAACCATGGAAATACGCATGGTCTCCTGAGCGAGGTTCTGCCAAGTCAGTGAGGCACACCAGGGGGACCATCATAGGCCTGCCCTCAGTGAGGAGGCCTTGACTAACTTTACCGCACCCTGATTAGGAGGTCGGTCTCCCTAACTTGCGCACTGACTTAACTCAGCCCGTGCCTGATCGCCTTGTTGAAAGCCCTGAAAACGGAATTACAATTGAGCGCTGCACCCTCTGGCTGTGACCCCTGGAGCCCCTCCACCCCGGCCCCTGGACGCATACTCTTCCCTGTGGGGGGCGGGAGCTGCACTGTCCAATGTTCAGGAGCGTCTCTACCCCAGTTCCTTTGTCTCCCCAGCATCAGAGCTTTTCCAGATCTCATCCTCCCGACAAGTCTGCTTCCACCTGCTTCCCTTTCCAATCCACCCAGCACACTTGATACTGCCACCAGCTTCCCCTAAACCTCTGCTGTGACAATCGACACATCTGATGTAGGTAGGCTTACTTCTTACTAAGTTGTGATTCCCCCCCCCCCCAATATATTTTTATTGATTTTAGATTGAGGAAGGGAGAGGGAAAGATAGAAACATTAATGATGAGAGAGAATCATTCATCGGCTGCCTCCTGTATGCCCCCCACTGGGGATGGATGTGCCCTGACGGGAATTGAACTTTGACCTCCTGGTTCATGGGTCCACGCTCAACCACTGAGCAACACCAACCTGGCTGAGTTGTGATTTTTAAGAACCTGTTCAGGACTGGCTGGTGTGGCTCAGGTGATTGGGGTTGTCCCACGCATCAGAAGGTCTCAGGTTCAATTCCCAGTCAGGGCACATCCCCAGGTTGCAGGTTTGTTCCTGGTTGGGTGAGTACGGGAGGCAGCTGATCGATGTTTCTCTTTCACACTGATGTTTTTTTTCTCTTTCCAAAATTAATAAAACATTAAAAAAAACCCACCACCACCTTATTGGTTAGGGTGTCTGAGTCTTATATACACTCCTGTCTCAGGGATTAGCAGACTGGGAGAGACATGGGCAAAATTTGGGGTCCCACCCAAAACTCAACCTGAACAATCGGATTCTCTTTTCTCAGTTTCACATACGAGAATTCTCTGAGAGAAATGTGTTTCAAAACTCTCTTTTGTTGCTTTCAAACAAATCTGATCTGATATACTTAAAACACTGCTTTCCCACCAATACTCATTGTTTTCAAGTACCCAAGGAAGAGTTCACAAAAATGAATATATGCTGTCTCATCATCAGGCAAGCTCAACACATCTCACAGGACTGAAATGATGCAGTCTACTTAGGAAATGCAGCGGATTGACAGTTTATGTCCCCTCCAAATCCTCCACCCGCCCCAAGGAGATGGTATGAGGAGGCAGGAACTTTGGGAGGTGATTAGGTCATGAGTGGACAGAACTCCTTTGCCCCGTCACTATGTGAGGACAGTGAGAAGCTGGCCATCTATACACCAGGAAGCAGGCTCACCCAACATCGAATCAGCTGGCACCAAGACCTTGGACTTCCCAGCCTCCAGACCATGAGAAATAAATTCTGTTGTTTATAAGACAGCTAGTCTATGGTACTGTTATAGTAGTCTGAAAAGACTAAGACAGGTATCTTCATGAAATTAAGCCAGAAATCAACACAGAGATAAATAGAAAATCCCCCAAACATTGGGAAGTAGTATACTTTCTAAAAACTTTATGACAAAAAAAGATACTACAATGACAAAATTTTAAATATTTTAATGTTTTTATTGATTTTTTTTGAGAGAGAGAGGAAGGGAGGAGAGAGAGAAACATCGAAGAGAGACAAACATCAACATTGATCAGCTGCCTCCTGAACACCCCC